AGAAGTAAATCTGGGCCTGAGATCTGACTAATATTTTTCTTGGCAGAGGAGGTAAATAAGAAATTCACCGCTAGCTAGAAAATTAGTGCAAGAGCTATACCACAAATAGGCTGTAGTTTGAGGATTTAAGCAGAGCTCATTATTTTATTTTTACACTGTAACTAATTGTAGATACAACGGTCTTACAAAATCCCAGGAAGAGAGGTGATTTTTATGAATGGATGCTCCCACAGTAGCTCTCCTCCTTCCAGGTGCAAGTGCATCCACCTTTTAGTGCTAAGCAAGAAAATTGGGGAAATTGTACAATGCATTCTAATTTTTTTATTATTATTTCTAATTTTGAGCTAAAAAGGCATCTTTTTCCTTTTTTTTCTTTTTTTTTTTTTTCTCCTGCATACACCAAAATAACAGTGGATGGCACATGAGACAGTTGTCTATTGCACGGAAGACAAAGTTGAAGTCTTCACCCTGCCACCTTCCTACCTCCTGCATGGATGAGAAAAAGTAATTGGAATCCACTGTTCGTTTCTATATTAGACTTTGGTTTTCATTTTATTTGTTTTTTGTAAACTAGTATTTCTACTGCAGAACCTCAGAAGTCAAAAGTTTGAGATAATCAGTGTGGTTTGTCACATAGAGCCAAAAACTAATCCATGACCATTATCAATGCAGTTTTTATATAGAGTTAGAAAGAACTGTACATTATTCTAACCTGTTCAAATTCTTATACAACCATTTTTCCCACTAATCGCTAGGAGTATCAAACTCTCTTTGAAACAGAAATTTTATAATAATGTTATATGCATGATCAGGATAAATATATTGCAACAGCTTCCTTGCTCAGAACTCTTTGTACATAGTTAATTCTAAAAAAAAAAACCAAACAAACAAACAAAAACAACAACAACAACAAACCAAAACAAAAGAGAAAGAAAAGGAAGACCTTATGAGAAAAGGAAGACCTTATGACCCCTCAGTAACTCTAAATCTCTGAAAACTTTTGAGTCTAACTTTGGAGAAGGAAATTCAGCTAAATTTGTGCAATATCCAAACTCTCTGTTTTTAGTGTATAGTACGGCTATAGATTCTTATGTATTACCATGTTCCACCTCTTCCTTGGATGTCACCATCCTCTATACAGACTAGCTGAAAAATATATATATAAAATACCCATTTCTGGCTATGCTTCTGTCTAAAGGTAGGAAAACTTTCACTGGGAGGCTCTAAATTCCATTAGATCCAAATTGTATGAACTATGTCAGATGGACTCATTGTTTTTATCCCATAAAAATAAACAGGGAAGTTTTCTTGTCCATTTGTTGTTTTCAGGCAGTTTACAGATTCTGACAGCTTCTCTCTCAATTCTATTTGATTTTCCAGCATGCAAACTTCATAGTTTTTCATTTTAATTGAAAATTGTAAGTGTGCTGTAATTGCAAGAGACTTTGGGTGAAATCCTCTAATGCTTGCATGTTAATCCAGCATTTTATCCTGACTATCTCTCTTTTTTTTTTTTTTTTTCCTATCCTGAATGTTGAAGGTCAGGTATGCACCGTAGGTGAGGAGATCCCTCTTTACCTCCTACACATAAATGGATACTTGGCAATTGTAGCATACAGGGGCACCATACAGCTCCTTTCCGTCACGCATGTGCCCCTTTCTGTGTCCCTGCATATTATCTGAAGCTGGAGGAGTCATTTGAAACGCAGACACAGAGTACACTTTCTAGTGTAATTTATCAAGATTTCCTCCCTTTCATGTAGATGTTTTAAGTATTGTTATTTCATCATTATTTAGAATGAAATATCTGATTTGTGTAGAGTAGTAGTAACCTGGGACCAAAATGAGCACTTTTCATCAATATGAATGAGTGGCTTTATTTATTTACTTACTTCTTTCTCGCAGTTGTTGCAGAGATGCAGTGAACCAACTTTTTACTTCAGCTACTCTGTATATGGTTTTTACTTGGTTTTATCTGTACTTTTTAGGCTTTGGGATGTCTTTGATAGAAACAAAATGTACAGTAGCCAAAGCCTTAGGTGCCTAAGTAACCTTTCTGTGCTAGATAGCAATGACTAGAGGACCTGTGCCCTAGTTAATGTTGTAGAGGCCAGTTTAAACTGGTTATGATTTCAGTCCAGTACATAACATTTTTGAGACCTCCTGACATTCTTATGGCAGATTTTCTAATATGGGCACAATTATTACAACAAATGTTGTAAGTCCCCTGAGTCAAATACAATACTAAGTACTGTTCTTTTGGACATTTGTGTGCATTTTTGTTACCATCCGGGATTATTTGAAGGATGCACTGTGGGCCCTGACAACATTAAGTGTGCATTCAGTTTAGGGTGAGTTCTGAGCTGATGTGACAACTTCCTAACTGAGGTGCCTTTTGCACTCTTTTTGTCATATCTGATGCATTGATAACTCAATTGGCAATGACCTTCAAGTATAGGATGCAATGCTGATGCACATGAGAACACAACTGATAAAAAAGTACTTGAGGGATGATAAATAGGGCACTGCACATTAATAAGTGCTACTTTTTGTCCACACAGAGCTAAAAAATAAGAGCCATGTCCAGGGATACTCCTGCACGTAGTAAAACTCTTTCAAGAACTACAAAATCTGAGAAATGGGAAATAGTGATAGAAATGGTGACATCTCTAGCATTAGCACACATAGGTTGTCTTCTTTTGAACCATGCGCTTTGCCAGTGACAAGAGATGCAATCTTAATAGAAAATGCCCTATCTTTTACCTCAGTATAAATAGGCATCTTGGGGCATGCAGGATACTGTCATGTGTCCCTGGGCATCTCCCATCCCCCTTCAGAGCTGGTAAACGACATTCCCTACTCCTTTCTTGGAAATGTGCAAAAAGGATTTCCACAGAGAGTCTTTGGAGATTTCCTGTTTTCTCATGTGTGTAATAGATTGGGTCAAGCAACAGAGAGGAGGGGGGAAAGAATAAGATTTAATTTTATATGCACTCTCCTGTCATCACCATTGAAAAAAAAAATGGATGAGAAAAGAAATTCTGCAATACAGGTGATGTCAGTGTTAAATTGAATTAAGATCATATATTTTTGTGCAGCAGCTGTAAGCCTTCAGTTATGGGAAGGTTCATGATAACAGAGTACATTCCAAACTAATGTTAACCAACTGCTTGTGTGTGAATAATTGCTTAGAAAATAACAGCATTATCTACAGTACTTTGGGCCAACATCGATTAAATGTATAACCTATAACGTCCTCAGTTTTTGGGCATCTGAATTGTACTAAAATAATTTGTGGCAGATTAAAGAAAGGAAAAAAAAATTATATTTCAGCATATCATTCTAAAACACTATGAATGGAAAGGATACTTTTTTAAGATAGCATACTGTTTTTAAGATATTCTCAGAAACTCATAAAGGCACAGGCTCATAAATAGTTTAAATTATGGATAGGGAAATTTATATTGCAAAACAGGTAGTACCTCTTTGATTTTTGCACATTGCCAAAATACAGAGATTGAAATGAAATACAAATTGCATCTTTCTGTAATTTTGTAATTATTGAGTGGCTTCAAACAACTATAAGTAATTATCAAAACCCTAGTCCCATTATGGCTACTTAGAGAACAGTTGCAGAAGGGGAAAAGCTTTAATTTTGTGTTCTGTGTGGACAGAAAGATTGGGGGGAAAAAAAGAAAAACAAGTGGAAATTCTTATCATATTATTTACTTGGTTTTATTTTCCTGTTTCGCAGATTTTGAACACCTCTTTAGCAATATTCACAGCGCTTCGTGATTCTGCTGGCCTGGGCAGAGCATATGCAGCTGCAGCCAAGATCCTGGCAAGGTAGGTTAGTACATCCTTGTCTGACTGTCAGTGCAGATTCATTCAGCTGTGAAAGACTTAGATTGTTAGAGGTCTGTCGCTTCCCATTACTGACTGCTTAAATTTTAAGCAGTGCCCTTCTTGCAGTGAGTGACCCTTTCATTGAAAGTTATTTTAAACTGGTACACATTTTTTAAAGTGCTTTTCTTTGCCTGTAAACTATAATATGTCCTTCTTGTTCCACATTTTGGGGGATTTTTAAGTTGTTGGGTTTTTTTTTTCCCCCCAAGTTTAGGGGGAATCTTATTGAAAAAAGAAATGCAGGCTTATTTTCCAAAAAGACAGGAAAAGTTGAAGCATGTAGCAAGTTTCAGAGAGTGTCTCAGTGTAAAATTTTCTGAACTGTAAGTTGTCATTTATTTTATTGCACTCACTTCTTCTGTGGAGGCATTTCTGGTTTGTGCACGTGTAACTACATTTGTTGCAAATATGATGCTTGTGTTCAGTATTTCTGTTTTGGCATCTGGCATTAAAATCTTCCAGATGAATTAGTTTGAAATGACTTCAGCTTCTGACACAAATAATTTTGACGTGAAGTAGTCTAATGCAGTTATCATATGAGGTAAGGGGGAAAAGAGCTTAAAATGAAGGTTGCAGCTGTTTCTTGATTCATCCTATGTTTGGGGACTTCAGTGCATATGATACGTGATAGAGGTTGGCAAATTGTTTATGGAGAAGGACTTGTCACCAAGTTTATTTCACTGTGCAGAGCAAATTCTCCTCTTTGAGTTAGACCCCTTGTCCCTTGGCCTTTCAGAGCGTATAGGGACCAGCCACGGCCACAGTTCTCTTCAGCTCTCTGGTACACAATTCGTGGCTACCTGTATTCTGAGCATCCTAAATAAGGACATGGGATAAGATATTAAAAAAGACACAGAACAGACTAAGAATACCAGGTCAAAACTAGTTTTCAAAACCATCTTAAGCCTAACCAAGAAAGAGTTAGTTGCTGGAAAACCAGCTGTTACAAAGAGTGGCTTTGCAATGAGTACAAAGTTGTCTGAGCTCTCAGTAGCATTTGTGGTCTCCTTGTATTCCCAGAAAGCATCGGTCTGGGTAGAGGGTGGGTTAAGACAGTCAAGAAAACATTCCTAGTAAACCATGTATACTAATTTCCTCCCTGTGTGATTTAGACATTCTGGAACGAGGGCACATGTATTTATTTACTTAGAACTTACAGATTTGGTGATGCTTCTGAAGCCAGGTTGCTAAATCCTTTGTCTGATAGACCATGCCAATCCTTTGTCTGATAGACCATGCCAATTAAAAGCAGAGCTAAAGAAGGAATGACTAGTGATTTTATGCTGCATCACATCTGTACTCCACACTTTCTGGCAACATTCTTTAGCTATCCAGGAATGGACAGTCTCACTGCCTTCCAGTTTTTAATTTGAAAAAGAGGGAAAACTGTAGGTAAGGAGCAATGAGAGGGAATACAAGGAGCAGTAAGACTCCCCAGTTTAGTATTTAAGGCATTCTCATAGAAGAGGAACATTCTGATTGATTCAAGTGAAGGAGGAACTCAATTTCATGTATAGGATCAGGGATTTAACTGCTAATCTATTGCAGTGAAGGCCCAAACATAAACCCTTTCTCTGGAAAATGGCAATCATGTTTTTATAAAACACGTCTGGTAGTTGTGCAATGAGGACATTTACCAAATAAACACCTTACATATGTACTTGCTTTGAACAGCTTTAGGTATATGATAGGCATTAATTGTTCAACCCTGCAAAATGTCATGATGATTCTCAGCAACTTTCAGTCACTTGAAAAACTTGATGTATAACAGTCTGGGCAGCTGTGAATCATAGAAAGATAGATTCATAAAATAGTTTGGGTTGAAAAGAATCTTCAGAGGTCATCTAGTCCAGCCCCCCTGCAAGAAGTAGGGACGTCTTCAACTAGAACAGGTTGCTCAAAGCCCCATCCTGCCTGGCCTTGAATGTTTCCAGGAATGGGGCATCTACCACCTCTCTGGGCAACCTGTTCCCATGTTTTACCACTCCCATTGTGAAATATTTCTCCCTTATATCTAATCTAAATCAAGCCTCCTTCAGTTTCAAACCATTACCCTTTGTCCTATTGCAACAGGTCCTGCTAAACAGTTTGCCCCCATCTTTATTACAAGCTCACTTTAGATACCGTAAGATCTCCAGAGAGGCTTCTCCAGACTGAACAAACCCAACTCTCTCATCCTGTCCTCACAAGAGAGGTGCTCCAGTTCTCTGATCATCCTTGTGGCTTCCTCTGCACCCACTCAACAGGTCCATATCTATCCTGTGCTGAGATACTCCAGAGCTGGACATAGTACATACTGGATAAATGCATTAATTTATTCAGTCACTGCTGGTGACTGAATCTCCATATTCAGCTTGTTCACTTTTTCTTTACGTGTATTGTTATCTGATCTAGGCTAGACCTGTGCAAATAATTTTAAATTTTATGGATAATGTCTTTATAAAGAAAAGATGGCTCTTTCACAGAAATAATTTGTTATAGTCATAACATCTATGAGAATTTGCACTGATTTCCTTGTGACAGGTTGGAGAAAGTGGCTGAGCCCTCCTGAATAGCTCAGAATCTGTCTATGGCTTTGGAATATTTCGTAAAAATTTTGCTGCAGATGTTTCCAGAGACCGCGGGAAACTGAAAATCTCTATCATGTGCATTTAGGCATGTCATTTTCCAGGGAAAAAATCTGACATAATAGCATCATGTTCTTGACTTATTCTGCCAGTGTCCACCATGGTAATGACTTCTTGTGGACACATGATTTATACATCCAATTCCATCACATGAGCAATCCTATAAAAGGTGCATATTTTCATAAAAGTCTAATAGGGGTAAAAATCTCATAGGGCATTTTAGCATGAAACTGGAAAATGAGTTGCTATAGATGTGTAATCTCTTCTGCTGAAGTCATCATAACTGTTCTGTGGGATCATGAATGACTATATCTTTAGGAAATTACATTTTATGCATTTAGGAAGGTGATGTCTAAGGAGATAGAAAGTATATGGCTGTATAAAATAACATGTAGATTTTTGAAGGAACTATAAAATATTAGCCCTTTGAGTAGGAAAGACCTGTTTATCATGTTATCAGATCCTGTGCAGGATGAAGTGTTTCAGTAATCCTTCTAGCATTCCTTAAATATGCAGTGCTCTTACAGCTGGAGTGCTCTTCAAGTAAAATTGTCAAACTGTACCAACCAATTGCTAGCTGGCATAAGTGAAGTTCTAACAGTGAGAAATACCTTTCTGATATGTATCAAATTGGTTTCTGTTTTCCTGAAAGAGGTTATATGCCCTAGCAATTTTCATATTTCCTCTATGAGGAGCATAGGTTTTTATGTGAAATATAAAAAATGGCCAAAAATACATCAAAACATTTCTATTAATTCATGAAATTAAGAAAACCTTTTTACATTTTCTCCTGTCACTGATTCCATTTGCTTTATTACTTTCAGCCTCTAGCCCACAAACTTGGTGGCACAATCAACAAACCCCTCAGTGGCTGTTTCATCTCTGCTCTATTTGATTTCTCCACTCTGAGTAAATGATTAAGTTTTCATGCATTGGTTCAACCAAAATCTATGTTCACTCAACCACATCCTTTATTGATTACTTCTACTGCAAACAGTAGGCCAAGTGTGATATACATAATTGGACAGTTGTCAGGGGATGTGGGTGTTAACAGTCCTGTTTTCCCAATTGGAAACTGGAATCACCTTGATACACAAATATTCTGCACTGTTTCATTCTCATTCCTTGGACCAAGGAGTCCTTTTCCTCAGAATATATGTTTTTAACTCTCAAAGGTCTGGTTGAATGGATTTAATGATTATACCATATAATATGCTCTTCAAGTTGCACCTGTGCACTGCATATAGAAAACTAGAAAAACTGGAATTAATATTTGTCTAACACTTTAACCTTGTCCTTTAACTTATATAAATCATATGCTGTATTTCTGCAGGGAAACATTTGATTTTCTCTTCTTAGGAAAAAAAAAAGAGATTAAAAAATATGTGTTCCTAATTCTAAAATTTAGAAGCTTTTTGACATTTGGCAAATGTTTGCAGTCCAGGTTTTTTTGTATTCTCGTAGTATTGAAATACTTAAATTAAGAAAATTTAGTAAATCCAAGTCTGCTTATTGACAACTAAGCTTTACAGTAGCATACACTTGAACCTTTCAAAAATGTTAGTTTGTAATGTTGTAGCATCCTTTTGTAGCAATCTTGCCCATCTCAGTCACGTACAGATAGTCACTGCAATATTGTAAATCTGCAGCTAAGCTTTGCTGTGTTTCCTATTTTGTGGCAGGCTCTACCCTGTTATAATTACTCTGATAGCATAAAACAGGGAAGTGCAGACTTGTGCCAGACTTTGAAAGCACATCTCCCTAATATAGTTTATAAAAACACTGTAATGTAAATAAATGCCTGGCAGTCATTTGCTGAAAGAATATACCTTGAAGGTGGTTTAAAATGGTGAGAAAATAAATCACAACTCTTTATCACTTACAGAAACTTCTATTTCTGTGAATTTCTTAATTAAGACTGGATTCTCTGCCTTGCTTGGTGCCTTGACATTTAGCATGCTACACTCCTACATTAGTGACTCAAGTTCATGGCTAATATTGAGGTCAGCTGGAGTAACACTTCAGCCTTAAAGGGAAAAGAGCACAGTGCCTTACAAGCAAACACAGATGTCCATCTTACACCTTGCAATCACACTGTCGAGGTCTTATGCTGTTAATATGAGTGGCTTTATTAAAAAAAGGGAAATCTGCAAATGTTATTGTCAAAGTACATTAGCCAATTTTCAGCTTAGATTCAGCTGTGACCTCGGGTTGCTCTGATCTCTCTGGGATTTGGGGCTGGCACCTGCAATCCGCAGTTTAAAGGTTTGGCTGTGTGACCCTGGCAACCTTTGCTGCACCCAGCCAAAGTGCAGTATTACAGGGGAAGGCTGTCACCCTCAGAAGTGAGAGATAGTGCTGTTATGGAGCTCCTGCTGCACCACCAGGGTTCTAGAGCATGAAATGGCAGCTCTGAATGACAGCAGCACAAAAAGTCTTACTGAAGAAACAGCCTTCTTCCCTTCTTCCCTTATTTTGTCAGATTATGAGGTCCACCTGTATTGAAAACGCTATCAGCTTCTCAGTAGAAAAAAAATTAAAATAATGAAAAGTTCAAAATCCCTGTTAAATCATCACCTGCATTTTCATTCTTGGACTTAAAATATGATCCAATACTCTGAAGAAAAATTTTGTTTTTTCTGTTGAGAGGATTCAGTTCTGCCCTCAGACATTCTGTGAGGACTAGTCTCACTGGGCTCAGCACAGGTAGTGCTAGAGGCCATTTGGAAATAAAACTCAGTCATGGAGGAGTCATCACAAAATAAAGTTACCTCAGAATAAAGGCACAGGTCTTCAGCATCTGGAGAAGCCATCTGAGTAAATATTTAATTTTGTCCTTGTCCTTTTCTTCAGTCAGGGAAAGTCAGCTGAAACTTTGAAGTACTTGGGAGAGTTTATGCAGGATGCTGAGAATGCTCATCTAAGCCAAAGTGTGGTGGATGCAAATGTATTACTTGGGAAAGTTCACAATGAAAGAGTAAGTACTGATTGCAGTAATGATCTCAATGATTTGATTTACTTTGTGGTAAAAATCTGGTTTTACATGGGACGTGACCCAGGAGGATTTGATCAAGGGACTACTTATAAGAGTTACCAGATGAGAAGGCACCATTTGACTAAATAAAATATGCCTTAATTTTTTTTGAAAAGTTGGAAATTTCACACCATATTTAACACGTAGAGTTTTGTTCTGGAATAGATTAATAAAATCTCCAAATTCAGATCATGATAAACTTCCAGTGTTGTGAAAAATCTGTATCCAAGTCACCATTGGGGCCGTACATCCCCATAAAGAGTCATCAGTTAATGCAAATGAAATTTTATTGCAACATACATTAATGTATGCTGAATTGCATACTAATGGGCTGCTTTTAATCTCAGCTTGATTTCTTGTCTACACTCTCTCAGCCAAATAAATGAAATGGGTGCTGGTAGCAAATAGTTTGCCAAAGGTCTGTGCTAGTAGTGGAAGGCCTTTCTCTTCCATTTGCCTCCACCCAGCTTTGATCTGCACTGTTTAAATCAATAGATGGGCAGTGATGGAAGATATTAAGCTGGACGTAACTAACCCACTCCCTTTATCATAGTTTCTGGGATCTTTTGAAGTGCTTTTTTCAGACCCATGTGCCAGTCTCAGAACAGTTCTGTTGGCTGCTTGTCTGGGTAGTGTTTTCCATGCTTACTTCCCTTACTGTGTCTAGGGATGCAGTGCTTGTACTACAGTAACCCTTGGGTTTTGAAATCACAAGCATTAAAAACATTACTGCAGAGGTGAAACATTCTTGTTGAGCCCTTTAACACCTACTTTAGAGCTGAAATGCTGCACAAAATGATTTAAATACAATAAGTAATAAGAATTTGTTCTGCAGACTGGACAATATGGAAATTAGGAAATGCTTTCACTATGAATGAAATAAAAATAGAAATACCCTTTCAAAATTACCCCTTCTAACCTCTGTTGTCTATTTTTTGGTCATAAGTTCAATTTCATAAGGAGTAGAAAAATTTCTGACTCTTTAATCTCTAAATTACCCTGAGAATTTCCTATTTACATATGTTCTTAGCATAAATGCTGAATTTCCCATGGAAAACTTTTTTAAAAAAAGTTTTTAAGTCTTTGATGACTTGCTGAAGCAACTTTAAAATGGATCTGAAACTTAGAAGAAAGCAGGGTGGTGTGACACTGTGCTTAATTATTCTACTCCAAATTTGAAAAATAATTAGCTAATTTTAATTGTTTAACTACTTCTGCATTTTATTCCTTGTGCCACCACTGATAATAATCGTCTATAAGAGTAGATATTTTGACAAGCTATCTCTTTTTGATTGTTCTTTAAATTCTCAGTTCAGAATTTGCTGCCTTGAGCCGGGGTAGTAGTGTAACAGGGCACAGGTCCGGTGACTTAATCTTATTAATTTATATAAAATATGTGATGTAAACATAAATTTAAAAACTCTGAAAGTCTGAAATTCCCTATTTTCTATACCACTTTTTTTCTGCATGGTCAGCAGTGTTTACCAAAACTGAGTCTAAATTAACATTTCCTCTTTTGGTTCATTGCCTGCTGGTGTCAGCTGTCATCACCAGTATTCTCGAAGTCATTATTAGGGTATTTTTATTCAACTCTGAACTTCCCCAGTGATACAATTTGCAGTTGTATTGTCCTCATCTAATTAAAATATCTCTATTTATATCCAGATCTATCCTTGAGGACCTTTAGTAAACTGGAGTATAACTCCTACTGTTCTCCTCAAAGTGGTATTGACCACATTTGCTGTGCTCTGTCCTTACTGTTGCTGTGTCTTTACTGTTCTGTCATCTCACTATTCCATCACCATCACTGTCTTTGTTTAATGCTGTACACTCAGTATCCTTTCTAGCCATGTTTGGTTTACCCAGACGTTTCTTGTTTCCTAAAATCTCTGGGTTTGTGTTATGCACAAATATTAGATCTCATTTCTCCCAGTTTGCTAAACAGGTTGCTTACTTGAAATGCAAACTCTGATGAAGTTAGCATGGCACACTCTGTCATTTCTCATTTCACTTTTCTCAAGTTTCTTGGTCTGATTTGCTGCATTCCTCTCACTAATTGCATCACTTAACCTGTTACAGTTCTCATGAGTATGGTAGGTAGGTAGGTGTTTCTGCTTTTTGTCTATTATCCTAGGGATTATCGTTATTTACTCGTTGCTGTGTCCTCATTCTAATTCTATGTGAATTACTGCTCTCCTACTGTAATAAACAAAGCATAAAGTCTACCCAAATTTTTTTCTTTTCACCTTTTCTAATTACAGGCACATTTTAGCAGTTATACAAATTTTGATCCCAAAAGTTGTTATCAAGTGCAACAGGAATCAGTTGGAGTCTCTCCTCCTTCTGTCTGTGCAGAAGGGAATTTCAACAGTACTAAATCAAGCTGAGAGTGAAAGGATAAGACAGCTCTGAAAATGTTTTCAACCGTGAATTTTTTGTCAGCATGGCAGCAGAATTCCACACCACTGGGCAAAATGGAAGGTGTATTCCAGGGAGCAGGCAGGCTATAGCTAAGTGTTGATGACAGACATATAGAATCTGCCTCAAGAAGTTTGTCTAACTCTGACAACAACCAGAACTAATTCCTTCAGAGTAAGATGTACACAGATTCATAACAAGCTGCTCCCAGGAAGACCTTTTATTTTTTGCCTTATCTTGTTTGTTGATTTTGTTTTTTTCACAAGGATGTCCTCCTTTCTTATTAGTAGGTTTGGCATCAGGACTGCCACCATAAACAATCCATTAAGAAGAGAGAGCTATCTGGAATAATTTTTAGATTTCTTGCTCTTCAGTTATATTCAATTCATCCTTACTATTTTATTGTAGTTGATAGCAATTTTCAGTCTATTCCCAGTTTATACTTGCTGTTTGGCACATACTTATTTTATCCAGTTTCACTAATATACTGTTTATTTAAGTAGATTGTATCTACTCTCTCCCCTGAATTCTTGATACACGCTAGTATTTTGTTTGACCTTACCAGATATTAGAGCAGTTCTGCATTTAGGAGAAGCCATTGCAGAGCTGAGCATGTTATTTCAAGATGACTTTACTGAGCTAGAACCCACTAAAAGTTTCAAACAGTTCAGGCAGTATGAAATATCTCTCATTTTCTAAAGAATCCATGTCATTTGCTATCACCATTTGTCATAACCACTCAGGTAGTATTACTTTGTCCCTTTGAAATTCCTTAAAGCCTTGCAAAAGCCCTCCTTTCTTTCCTTTTTTTTTGACAGTCTTGAAAAATTTGTCATCTTATTTTTTTCTATAATAATTAAACATTAGACAAAACTGATACTAGAGCATGAAGTTACTGTCCACTGCCATACCCCTGTACTACTTCTCAAGGCTGGATTATACTACCTAGTTTTAATGATACATGTTACGTATTTCCCAGCCATTTAACCTCTTCATCTTTAGATTTCTTCAAGTCTTTCATATACACTTCCTTTTGGTTTGGTGGTATGTTACATTTTAATTTAGAAGCTCACTCCTCCAGCTCTTCTTTTGAGTCTGATGCTTACTCAAAGTAGATTCATGGAAAAGAAGAAATATACAAAAGATGAAGAAATATACCAATTTAAAATATATTATTTTCACTTTTCAGCACTATCCTTCAGCCTACTATGATTTTCCATAGTTTTCTTTTTCTTCCCCTTTGGTCAAGAATTTGAGGAGGGTTTTTCTTCTATATTTCACATAAAAAATAATTCTTTCTATGCTTTTTTAATTCTTCTTAATGTACTATATGCTGTAGTTTATACTCCTTTTTACTGGGTTCATAAATGTTGGATTTCTGTATTCTGGAGGATAAAGAGGGAAATTATCTGGGTTTTTTATTTAGCAACAGTTGACATACATTTCTCCAACTGTTTCTCTTTTTTGTGATTAATTCCTGGGGTTTGGTGTGCCCTTTTCTTCACCCAAAAATGTGTAGGTTTTAATTTCTGTTCTTTTCAGTGCTTTAGGTCTATCACTTCATTGTTCTCTTTCCTCCTACTTTTAGGATTTATTTTCTAAAATATAGTACCACCAAAAATCAGGACCTTTCCTCCCACAGATGTGTTGAATGTAATGAAACAATAGCGATAATTCCTAAATGTCCTGGCTGGAATCAGAATAATACTTAAGCACTGATATGCTTGCATTTGTGTGTTCAAAATACTGCACAGATAACCAAGAAACAATTCAGTTCCTGAGAAAGATATGAGCAGTGCTCATCCGGATTTTAGGGGTCAAGAAACAGCAAGGGAGAGTGATTTGCTTAATGCCCTGCCATGAGTCATTCTGTGGGCTGAGCTCTCCGCTGCAACATCTCTGAGGTGCCAGAGGAGCGGGCTCTAATGTCAAGGTAAAATACAGGTGCCTGCAAGTAGTTTCTAAATTTCTTTTCTTTTTTTTCCTCCTCTTCTTTACTAGGGGAACTATGTTGAAGCTTTGGAATATTTCAGTCAGGCTTCTGAGGCAGCCAAAACTTTAAACAGTGTGCCCTTAGTGGATGAAACAAAGGCTTACTGTGGCATTGCAAAGGCTCATCAGCTGATGGTGGCATTTAACAGCCATGTAGCAGCAGAAGATCCCGTCAGCCTCAAGTACCTGCTGGCATGGAAGGAAAACAGAAGTGACATGTGCGCTGACCCTCTTACAGTCGGTAAGACATTGGTTATGAAACACATTAGAGCTGCATTGTCCTCAACAGTTAAGTCATTTTTCTTGTAGGGCTTTATGAAATTATTTCCTGGGCTTAATCCTTGTGCTGAATGTAGGTTAGACTTACTCCTTTGTGTGCTTATTGTAAAGGCTGAATTAAATAAGTTAAAATAGCAGGGAGAAACAGATAGTAGTAGTTGCTCTGGAAGGTAACTTACTTTTTTTGGTGCTGTTTGCAAACTGTGATGTATTACTTTAGTCAAAAATGATTATTTTAATCTTTAAAGAAAATAATAATAATCCTCATTTGGAGTACATTTTTCAAGTGCATCCAAAACCAAGTTCCCTGTTGCTAAAAATGAGAAGTAATTTCTGCTTGACATAGTTCTCAATCCCAAGGAATGTGCTGTTTTATTTTTTGTATCCCTATGCTTGACAGCGGAGAGGAAGGGAAAAAATAAAAACACTTCTGATTTCTTTAGTCTATTTCCTTGTCTCAGGTGGAGTAGAGGAGGAATTTGTGTGCAGTAGGCCTCTGTCTTCATGGGTTAAATTTTCTTTGCATTTTCCCTTGTAGTGCATATTAATACGAGACAAACTGAATTATGCATTATCTCCAAGTATTGGTAGTATTAAACTGTACTGTACTGGGGAAGGAAAAGGGATTAGTCTACTCCACCTTGAATCTTTCTTCTCTGCATTCCTGTTAACAGCACGAATCTGGAGCACAGTGGGAACAAATGGCAGATGGGGCAAAGTTGTAACATGGAGCTTCAGATTTATGGTGTTATTCCCTCAGTTATCATACTTGTAAAGACAAGAAGCTTGTCTGCTGCTTTCTTCTGTATCTCACCCTTTCATAGAATTGTAAAATTAAGTATCACTTCAGTTGTGAATTTTATGTATAAAATAAGAGTTAATAAAAGATGTTAGCAGCTTAACAGGAGCCAGGATGCCAGAGACAACACTAGAAGCTACTGAGAATTGTTGAACAAGGACATTCACTGGCATGCTGAAGAGATAAATTAGATAACAGTGTTTTAAGTTCTAGTGCTGGTAACACTTTTACAATGGCTGTGTATATATATATATATATTTGTGATTTTTGTCTCAATAAGTGAACACCTAGCACGCTCACAGATGTTGTTGACTATCAGAATTATTTGGGTGCATGTCTCCTATCTAGACCTATAGTGCAGATGCCATGAATTCCGACAGAGACAGCCAAAGAAGAATCCAATGTCAAGCACTTTTATAATCATTTCATATGAGGATCACTAACTGTAGCAAATAAGGAGGCCAGAAAATATCAACAGTAGCAACAAATAGGAGGCCAGCCAAAATCAATAGTAGCAACACCAAAAATCCAGGAACCTTGAAGAGAGAGGATGATCTTTGTTATCTCCAACATGTATTTTAGTTCTGACACCTAACAAGGTTGTCTGTTCAGCTTTTATACATTGCTTTCTCCAGTCATTTTTGAAACTCATTTATGATATGTGCCTCTTTAAGCTCAAGATTCGTGCTCCTCTTTAAAAGTACTTCAGGGATAAACAGAGCATGGTTAGAAAAGCCCTTTATGTCCTGACAAGCGTGATACCAGAAACAAGTTTTGCCTGCTGAGATTCTCTTCCTTCCGTATTTGTGCCTAGTTTACCCTCTTACTTTCAGAATTGCAGTTTTCATTTCAGTTCCAGTTCACTCCAGGAACCCTGTGGCTACTGCATATTTAGCAGCTCTTCCAGTTCAATATCATTCTTCTCATTAGTGCTCCAAGCTTACTCTCATGATACCCAGATTACATCCAGAAAAACATAGTGTCACACTGTCAGCACAATCTGTAACATTCTTCATGTTTTGTGTGCCAAATCTCTCGTTACTACTGGCATTACATTTTTAATATCTTTGTCTGGCAAAACATGACCTGGCACCAATTCAAGATGAGGATTCACTGCCTTTGAGTTTCAGGTACAGCCTTTATTCTACCTTCCAGGAGACTGTCTGTGCATCCTATGATGAACTCATCACTTAGGAAATTCCTGCTGTGATAATAGAGCAGTATTTCTAGCTCTTTCAAACGTTGATAATCTACTAGATTTTTCTCAGTCTTTTTCAGGATAAAACAGATAAAGACAAGAATACAGTGGTAGTTCTTAATCCACAGGGGAATTTAATGAAAAGGAGAAGGAAGGTAATAAGTTTTTATTTCTGACTGTTCTGACTGAAAAATTTTTCTGTGACAAAAAAATAAGAGCAGTTTCTGTATTCTTAAGCAAAAGAAATACTTAAGCTAGTGGAGGAACAATTACATTTAAATTCAAGTACTGCCATATACCTTATGTCTTTCAACCAAGACTTATTTTCAAAATCAATCATTTCAATAACCAGGCAGAAAGAACCATTAATTACTCAATTTACCTCAACATTTATTAATAAAATAGGTGTTTTGATCAGAGTTGTCATGGACAAAAGGAATGGGATTGTCAGAGAACAATGTTTCTATAAATACAAAGGAGGACGTGTTTATATCTCTTGCCTTTGACTCACCTGACGTCACTTACAGGAGAGTTATCTATGCCATTGTGAGATGCCACTGCAATAACAAATATGTTTTATTGTTCTTTTTATGTTTAGTCAAATGCATAAAAAAACATTATAAGCAGAATCAGTAGGCAAAAAGGCTTGTAACTCCACGGTAAAGTCTAAAAAGGAACCCACAGCGTGACTAACATTGTCTGATGAGAAAACATCTCACTGGTCTTTCAATAAATAATCTCCTGACTTGCTGCCTTCTAGAGGAGAGAAGAATAATTAAAGGTGCTGAAGGCAGGAAAATTTTGAATCTGGTTTTGCATATTGATTACATGAAACGCTGACCAGAAATTGTTTTCTGTGAGTCTGGCAACTCTTAGTCCAGATCATTGAATCCAGCAGGGCTGTGCCTCAGCAAGAGCCCTTGGATGCTGGAAAGTGGAAACACTTTTAAGAGTAGACTTAAAATGTATTGTTTTCCTCATATTACAAAGCCTTCTATTGTTTTCTTGAGAAATAGTACGTGCTTTTGACCACAACTTAAGATTTACATTCTTTGACTTTGGAGAAGTTGGCAAAATTGATACGTTTTACCATAGGTTTTCTGTGGGGTTTTTTTGTGTGGTTTTTTTTTTTTTGTTTTTTTGTTTGTTTTTTTTTTTATGATGCCTTCAAATGCTGCATAAATGATTGTCCTCATCCATGTCATGAATTGTCAAATCTTATAGTCAATGGAATTATCTTGCACCATCAACTTCAACATGATTAGGACTATTTCTAGCATTCCACACTTGAGCAGCCTTGAACTTGATTTAAAATGCATGCACCAGCTAAACCTATGTAGCTTGGAAAATACAATCCAATGAGCTTTTGTTCTTACTCCCAGATATGTAGTCCCTCAATATTCTTTCTCCAGCTTCCTCTCATAGATATAAGGAATGGTACATTCCATAGTGTGACTGTGTCCTTTCTGTTGTGTAAAAAGTTAAATCTTCATCATACTGCTTCACATTTTTAAAAGTGCTTTGAGATGATTTATAGTAATTTTTCTGTAAAACCTTTGTCTAGCACAAAATTACTAATTTGTTTAAATATAGCGATTTTACCGGATGCATTTTAGATTGAGCTTGTGTGTAACTTTGTTGTTCATTAGTAAAAGGATTATCTCTAAAGAATGGGAAAGTCAGAAGTGAGATATGAGATCAAAGATTATGTTAAACAAATTCACTTAACATTTTTCTACTGTAACTTCCCACAGCTATGTAATTTATGGGCCATTTTGGTAATAGTGTCCAACAGCAGAACAGTCTGCTTCATGATGTGATAAACTGCATTTTTTTACTGTCTCTTCTTTCTGAAGTACAGTAGCAGGAAAACTTCTAACATTGCAAATCTTGTCTTTCCTCCTCTAATAAATTTTGTTGGTTACCTCAAATGCCTACTAAATAAAACTACCATGACACTGTACCCAAAATGCTTGACTGCAAATCAAACTCCATCTTCATGTGCACTTTGTATGTGCTAGCACTTGCTCATTGGTGCTAGCAGATTTTTTGATCTGGGAAAATTTAGGATTAAGAAAATGTGTGGTTCACTGATCAGAACTAGAAAATAGCAAGTCTTTGTACCTTGCAAAGATGTACATCCATTACATAGTTCTTATATGATGTCAGTGGAAAGGTAGAGGTTTGTGTTAGCACATTCCTTTCAGTGCATATTTCAAATACAAAGCTCTGTCAGAGATTTTGGGGTATCACGATACTGATGTGAGACTGCAAGAGTTGTGCACGTGTGTGCACTCCCTCAAAGCCACTGTTTGTGTGTCTGTTATATTTTTTGGATCATTTATTTATTAGTCAGTAAGTTCTATTCTGCAGTTAGCAAGTACAGGAGGCAAATATCTAGGCGTGTGTGGTGACTGAAATTAGCATGGAGTCTTAATGTTTTCTTTTGACATATTTCTTCTTGATAGTATATTAATGGGTTTTGTAACTAACTTGTCAAGTAAAAATCATTAAATGTATGTGCTGTCAGTGACACAGTAGCTAGACTGAATTTGAACAGGCCGAACTGTGATTGCTCTTCCCAATTGCTGCTGTAAAGAAGATGAGAGTGATTCAGACCCTTGATTTGGAAGGCAGAGAGGATGCCCATGCCTCCAAATGATCTTTTGGGCACCCCCTTCCTCTCAGAGGTCTGTTCACTGAACAAGAGTCTGGAGATAGGATCTGCAATGGACTCTTATTCAAGCTCTGTATGCTTATGGATTATGTCAATAGTGAGTTATAAAAGCTGAGAGTTTATTTAAGGTTTCAGAATGTATTGTTAATATGATGAAAATAATGAGAAATTGAAAGGTGTTTTCTCAGAAAATGCAACTGAACGTGAAGTAAGGGAATTATACACTTGTTCACACCAGTAAATAAAAACTAAAAAACTTTAAATTATGTACAGTAGGTGTGTGGCCAA